GGGAGAGAGAGGGAGAGGGAGAGGGAGAGGGAGAGGGAGAGGGAGAGGGAGAGGGAAAGGGAGAGGGAGAGGGAGAGGAAGGGAGAGGGAGAGGGAGAGGGCAGGCACAACCGCTCTTTTTTCCGCACAGGAAAGGTAAAAAAGGAATGTTCGTTTTTGTAGGTATACGGTCGCCAAGCGTTTTTTTTTGTCCCGCCAGCGTGGCGGAAAAGACAGCGTGCGGATGAGGCGGATGAGGCGGATTTTTCCTTTGTCTTTTCCGCTGGAAAGTCTTTTCCAAAAATCTTTTCTGATGTCCACTACCGCCCCGCGCCGCGACCTTGCCAAGCACGCCGCCGCCCGTCCGCCTCCTCGACCTCCCCACGGACCTCCTCGTGTGCGTTCTCCCGCTGCCACAGCCCCATCGATCGACATCGCTCGCGTCGCGGCCGTCTCGCTGCTCTTCCGCTCCTTCCTCGCTCGTGGAGGAGGGCATCCGCTTGTGGGCGCGAGAGCGCGGCTTCGAGCTGCCGGCCGGCGCAGCCAGTCAGTGTGGGCGAGGGCTGCGCCGTGCCGTGGTTGTGCTTTGCTGCGCTGCTGCGCGAGTTCAACCCGCCAGCAAGGGCTGCGGCAGGCATGCAGCGCAGCGTTTTCATCGACGGCGAGGGGCGGCTCTCGTCGTGCGGCTCGGCCCCGTTCTTCCTTCCCTCGTATTTTTGGAAAGGGAATTTTCCGAGAACTTTCACTGGATTCGTAGAATCTGACTCGACCATCGTTGGTGCTCCCGATCTGATCGAAGGCACCAGCTGTACCCCAACCGCCTCCCCGGCCCAGCAAACAGCGACCTGACGCCCTCCGCCCCACCTACGCCGCCACAGGATGACCCTCTCGCCGCCAATCGCTGACGCCACCGCTCCGCCCTTTGTCGACGGCCGCAAGGTCCTCTGCAACGGCAAGGTCGAGCCGTGGACTGGCCCAGTGCAGGAGGTGTTTGCACCCATCTACAAGGTGAGCCCGCCAACCTCACCCACACTCGCACTGCCGCACACGCATCGTGTGCTAGCCTCCGAGCAGGTTCCGTAGCCGTCAAGCGCCACTCTCTCTCTCTCTCTGCGGCCGCCATAGCGCCACGTCAGCACACACTTCAGTCACAGCCAGCCGCCACCCAGACATCGCCGGTCTCGACTCTCCCTACCCGTGACACACATCTCCTCGCCGCTGCGCTTCCGCCCCACCGGCCCACGCCACCCCCCTCGCCACTCACCCCACCTCGGCTGCTCGCCGAGCGTGCACTCGCTCTCAACCGGCTCAACCCGGCGCAGGCGGCCGGCTCGGAGGAGAAGGTGCTCATCGGCTACCAGGCGTGTCCGCCATCTCCCGCTCACCACCCTCTCGCGTCGCCCTCGGGGAGGAGCGGCCCGCTCATGCCCCGCCGCTGCCCTCCTCGCCACCTCAAGCCTCGCCCTCTCAGCCCTCCCCTCTCAGCCCTCCCTCTCCGCTGCTCCCCTTTTCCCCGCGGCAGGCTCGGATGGACGAGGCGGCGTCGCTCAAGGCCCTCGACGCGGCCGTCGCATCGTGGAGCCACGGCCGCGGCGAGCCCCCCTTCCTCTCGGCCGGCGTCCTTCTCGAGGACACGTCCCGGACGCGTCCGAGACACGCCTCTAGGCGAGTGGGCGCTCGCCACGCCAGAACACCGGATTGCCAAGATCGAGGAGCTCGTCAAGGCGCCCACGCCGCCCCCGGCCGCACCCCTCTCGGCCGTGCGCTGACTCCTCGTACCCAACCCCCACAGGAGCTGAAGACGGTTCGCGAGCAGATTGTGCAGGTCCAAGACCCCCCCGCGACACTTCCTCCCTCGCCACCCTTCCCCCCACAACCACCTCCATCCGCCTCCACTCTGCTCGCGCCGCCGCCGCTCTTGACACGTCCCGACCACGCCAGCTGACACGTCCATGAGAAAACCAGCGTCCAGCTGACAGCGTCCAGCTGACAGCGTCCAGCTGACAGTGTCCACTGACAGCCTCCACTGCCCCGCCCCGCAGGTGCTCATGTGGGAGATCTGCAAGTCGGCGGCGGACGCGGCCAAGGAGTTTGACCGGACGATGGACTTCATCGCGGGCACCCTCAAGGAGTACAAGGCGATGCTCAAGGCCGACAACGCCTTTGTGCAGATGGACAGGGAGCCTAGAAGCGGAATACGGACTCATGTACCCCAACTAGCGCCCGAGAGGACACGTATTCACTGTATTCAGCTGTATTCCTATCCGTTGTCTTCACGCGGTGCTCTCAATACGCTGCGCAAGACCGTCTTCCCGCCCTGATGTCTGTGCATTCAGCACGTAGGACGGCGTGCTCGCGCAGTCGCGGCGCGGCCCGATCGGTGTCATGCTCAACTTGGGCCCGTTCAACTACCCGTTCAACGAGACGTACTGCACGCTCATCCCCGCGCTGCTGATGGGCAACTCGGTGGTGATGAAGCTGCCCAACGTCGGCTGCCTCGCGCACATCTGCTCGATGGAGACGTACGCCAAGGTCTTCCCGCCCGGGGTGGTCAACTTTGTGTCGGGCGCGATCTTACCCGAGATTACCCGAGATTACCCGAGATTACCCGAGATTACGCCCAGGGTGGTCAGCTTTGTGTCTGGCGCGGGCGCGCGACGACGCCCCGGGAGATCTCGCGTGATCTCGCGCGATCTCGCGCGATCTCGGATGGGCTCGGGGTAGGTGCGGGCCGCACGACGATGCCTCCCATCATGGCGACCGGCAAGGTGGACATCTTCGCCTTCATCGGCGGCTCCAAGGCGGCGGACGCGCTGCTGAAGATCCACCCCGAGCCTCACCGGCTCAAGGCGAGAGCGGGCCCTGTCCCCGCGGCACCGTGTCCCTCCGAGCTGTCCGTCTACCCACACTGCTCCCTCGCACTTCACTGCACAACACGGAATGGTCGCTCGCGACTGCGCGCCCCGCCGCCTCCGCCCTCACCGCCTCCTGCCCCCCTTGCACACAAGGCCTCGCTCGCGCTCGACGCCAAGAACTTGGGCGTGGTGATGCCGGACTGCGACATGGCGGCCACCGTGACCGAGGTGCTCGCGGGCTCGCTGTCGTACAACGGGCAGCGCTGCACCGCGCTCAAGCTGCTGTTTGTGCACGAGTCGATCGCCGACGCCTTCCTCGCCGCGTACTGCGCCAAGGTGGACGAGCTCAAGATCGGGCTGCCGTCTGTGTGAACAGTGTCTCTTCACACCTCCAGCTGTGAACAGGTGGACGAGCTCAAGATCGGGCTGCCGTGGGAGAGCGGCGTCAAGCTCACGCCGCTGCCCGAGCCAAACAAGCCCGCGTACCTGCGCGAGCTGATTGCCGACGCAAAGTCGCTGGGAGCAAAGGCGAGATTACCCGAGATTACCCGAGAGATTACCCGAGATTTGCCGACGCAAAGTCGCTGGGAGCAAAGGTGGTCAGCCAGCTCGGCGAGCAGGAGGCGGGCCCGTCTGTGAACAGCGTCTCTTCGCACCTCCCGCTGTGAACAGGTGGTCAACCAGCTCGGCGAGCAGGAGGCGGGGCCGTTTGTCCGCCCGACCGTGCTGTACCCGGTCAGCGAAAATCAAACAGCTTAGCTTGAGCCCCCCCCCCCCCCCCTCCGAGACTATGGGTAGGGGCAGTCACCCTTTTAGCACAGGAGAGATGGGAGCGCCCCCCGCCCCCACCTGCCCTGCCGGGGCCCACCCAGGAGAGCGCGCCCCGGTGACTGCAACACGCAGGTGAGCGAGAAGATGCGGGTCTGGCACGAGGAGCAGTTCGGACCGCTCGTGCCCGTCGTCCCCTTCCGCGAGCTCGACGACGTGTACGCCTACCTCGCGCAGTCCACGTTTGGGCAGCAGGCCTCGGTCTTCGCCGGCGACGTCGTCAAGTGCGCGCCGCTGCTCGACGCCCTCGCAAACTCAGTCGGACGCGTCAACATCAACGCGCAGTGCCAGCGCGGCGTCGAATCCTAGATGCTCAACACGGAGACTCGCGCCCCGACTAGCGCTCGAGAGGGCACGTACTCCGCTGCATTCCTCGTCTCAGCGTGTGTTCATTGTATTCGTACCCCCTGTGCTCACGCGTCGCTCCGAACACGCGGGGCACGATACCGTCCTCACACCCTCGTATTCGTACTGCAGGCCCCGACTACCTCCCCTTTTCCGGCCGCAAGTCGTCCGCCCTCGGCACCCTTTCGGTCACGGAGGCTCTCAAGACGGGCCACTTCTCGAGGTTAAGACGAAACACGCACCTCATATTTTGTGTGTGTGGACAGGCGCTCAAGACGGTCTCCACCGAGTACGTCGTCGCCACCAAAGACAACGCGATGGGCAAGGCGGGCATGCTCAGCCTGGCGGGCGCACAGTGCAACTGCGTCGCCTCCCTCATCTGAGGCCCGCCGTCCTCCTTGCTCTCCTGTGCGCCCTGCGGGAGCGGGGGCGTCGCTGCGGCCGCACGCGCCCTCGCCTCCGGGCATTTACTTATGACCGCATGACTTGCCCCGTCGCCCCCCTTCGCCCTCGCCCTCGCCCCGCCCCATTCCGGACGCCGCGCGATCTCGTCGCTCCAACCGCTGGCGAGCCTCTCCGCCCTAGTGCACAGCGCGGAGTTGTTCTGCCCCCATGGAGTTTCGAGCCTCGCATGCGCGTTCAAAGTCCGGATGCGGATCGTGTCGGCGCTCCTCTGCGCACGCACGATCGTGGGCGCCGGTTGCGCCGTATTCGTCTTCCTCAGTCTCGTGTAATATTTCATTGGGTTGGTTTGATTTTCGAGCCGAAAGGGCCTTGACTTCGCCTCGGGTCCATGCCCCCGAAGCCCACCCTGGGTGAATGTAGAAGGTAGCCTTGCATAGTTGGCTCAATTATAGTCGGGATGTAAAGCTCAATTGCACGCGCGCACAAACACCCACTCATCCCGGGAGGGCAGGGAGGGACACACAAAATTCACTCACACGTTGGCGAGGGACCTCATCACGATGGTAGAAGGGGCACAACGAGTCGGTCCACCAACGTTTGTGGCGGTCGGTAGAAGCGGACCACAGACAAGTAACGCTCATTAGTAGAAACTTATGGGAGTTTACCTGGACCCCGCCCGGCGGCAATCGCAAGATCGTACGATTTGTTTTGCCATCACCAGCAACCGCCTCTGCGGAGCCGAGCGTGTTAGGGTGCCGGTCGCCGAGCGTCTCTCGCCTCCCCTCCAGCGCCTCGCGGCACAGCGCCTCCGCGCCGTCCAGGTCGCCCTTCTTCCTCCGCAGCCCGCCGAGGTTGTAGATCGAGATGAGCGTGTACGGGTGCCGGTCGCCGAGGGTCTCTCGCCTCGCCTCCAGCGCCTTGCAAAGCAGCGCCTCGGCGCCGTCCAAGTCGCCCTGTGCCTGCAGCAGCAAGCCGAGGTTGTTGATCGAGAAGAGCGTGTTCGGGTGCCGGTCGCCAAGCGTCTCTCGCCTCGCCTCCAACGCCTCGCGATACAGCGGCTCCGCGCCGTCCAGGTCGCCCTTGACATGCAGCAGCGAGCCGAGGTTGTTGATCGAGGCGAGCGTGAGGTGGTGCCGGTCGCCGAGCGTCTCTCGCAGCCCGTTCAGCGCCTCGCGACACAGCGCCTCCGCGCCAGCCAGGTCGCCCCTTTCCCTCAGCAGCCCGCCGAGGTTGCTGATCGAGATGAGTGTTTCCATGTGCCGGTCGCCCCCCCCGGGCGTCTCTCGCCTCCCCTCCAGCGCCTCGCGGTACAGCGCCTCCGCGCCGTCCAGGTCGCCCTGGTCGTGCAGCACCGTGCCGACGCAGTTGATCGAGAAAAGCGTATCCCAGTGCCGGTCGCCGAGCGCCTCTCGCCTCGCCTCCATTGACTCGCGGAACAGCGCCTCCGCGCCGTCCAGGTCACCCTGGTCACGTCGCAACACACCAAGCGCGACGATCAGCACCGACGTCGCCCTCTCCGCCGGCTCCATGCGGTCCAGCGCCGCCCTCCCCTGCTCCGCCAGCGCCCCCCGCAGCAGCCCAAACACAGCCGTGTTGCACTTGGTCAGGCCAACCTCACGCTCCAGCTCGCCCAGGATCTGCTCCGTGTCTTTCGGGTTGCGGCACTCGGCGTTGCGCACATTCACCTCGGACAGCTTCTTCGCGATCGAGTTAAAGTCATCCACCAGTGCAACCTCAAACGCCGCCTGCTGCTCCGCGCTCATCACCACCTCGAAGCGAGCGCCCGACGCCTGCGTGTGGTACACCTCCTTGATGCAGTACGCGCGCCGCAGCGGCATTGGGTTGTCAAACGGCTCCATGAGCAGCACCGTGTGGCCGACGGCGCGCACGCAGTCGCCGAGCTTCTTGACGTCGTTCATCGTGACGTCGAGCTTCCGCGACGACTGGCGGATCACAAAGTCGCACACCCAGAATTTGGTGTCGGGGGGCAGCTCTGGGTGGAGCCGCAGGTACTGCCGCAGGGCGTCCACAAGCGTCGCGAGCGGCGTCTCGAGGAACCAGCTCACGAAGACGGTGGCGACGCCCACGCCAGGGTCGCCGCGCTCGTACAGCACCTCGCAGTAGGCCTTACCTCCATTCGCCTCGCTAAACCTCTCGACGTGCCACTGGTTGACGTAGCCGTTGAGGACGGCGTTGGCCGGGACGCGGACACCGTTGACTTTCGGCCGTTTCTTGTTGCACTGTTTGACGGCGTTGGCGGGGAGAGCCGCGATGTACTCCTCGATCGCGTCGACAGACAGGCCGAGGGTCAGTCGCTCATCGAGGTTGAGCTCGGCAGCTCGCTGCGATACGAGTGCCTGCGTCTGTTGCACTTCTCGCTCGCGCCCCCGCGGCAGTGCACTCTGCATTGCAAACCCCAGAGAATCGGGCATGGCGGAATCTCTATGCACAACTGGCGGCTGCACGTCGGAGAGGACGGGAGCACAGGAGAGCACTAGTGTGGGTGCGAGCTCGTGCTCCGCCTCGACCTGATCCCAGCTGTGAGCTCGATCCCAGCCATCAACCTGCACCTTCAGAGGCCTGCTGGAGGTCACTGTGCCGGTTCTCCACTGGGCGTCACCTTTGTCCTTGCAACGGACTCGCTGCGACACGCAAAAGGCCGCGGTGCTACCGCTGACCGCCTCGACCTGATCCCAGCTGTGAGCTGAATCCCAGCCGTCGACCTGCACCTCCAGAGGGTCGGCGGAGGTCACTGTGCCGGTTCTCCACTGGGCGTCACCTTTGTCCTTGCACCGGACTCGCTGCGACACGCGAAAGGTCACCTGCTCGTTGCTCGCGCCGTCGTCTAGGTCGGAGAGGATGTCAGAAAGCGAGCCGAGGTCGTCGGGCTGGGAGCAGCAGGCGCCCATGCGGGCACTGCTGCCCGCTGCTGTTGCAACGGCGTCGAAACTTACGTGGCTGGGTTCACAGCGATTGTAGGAAAATGTCGAAAACACTTGACGGTCGCGGCCTTCCGACTCGCGCCTCCGCCTCACTGGCACTATTGTAGCCCTGGCCGGTGCGCGTGCAGAGTTGAAGTTCCGGAGTGAAAATTCGAACGCGTTCTCTCACGGTGACCAAAAAATGTCCACCTAGAGGCACCTCTGGAGGCAGGCCGCCGCACGCCGGCGACACAGCTCCAGCTGTCGAGCTGACCCGCAGCTCCTCTCAGAGCGGGAACTGTGACGAAAGTTGACTGAGGCGGTTGTCAGGAATCATCATACGGATCACATGGTGGCTCTCTCATGACGGGCAACCGCCCGACCACTCCTGGGTGGCACTGCCACCGGTGTCGCTCGACGTCCTGTCGACAGCGTGCCGACAGCGACACAGACCATGTGGGACGCGTCGAGTATCGACCTCTACTGCTTACCCAGCCTTCGAGTGTATCCTGACTGTGGTCCCACACCCACTGGTGTCCATCTCAGAGACCGCAGGAGGTCATGAGGGTCGATGGGAGTGCCAACCCCACAATGCCTAAAAACCCAGCCCAGTAGCTCTTAGGAAAATTTGTACTCGTAATAAGCCCTGCGACTGTACAGAGAGGTAGCACGCCCTGGCGAGGTACTTCCAGCCTGCTGTGGGAACAGCTGACGCAGTCTCGCCGAGGCTCGCCCCAGCATCTCGGGTTGACTCGGCCAGACAAAAACCCCGAGAGGCGTGGGAGTACCTCGCCAGAGCACGCCGCGGATCGATTCAATCCAACCACACCCCGTAACCCCCTCCCCCCCCCCCCGAGCTGCTCCGCTTCCCCGCCCACCGCCGCCCGGCCCGCGCCACCACTGCCCCGGTTCGCTCTCGAGAACTGGTGTCTCATGCCTTGACGTCAACGAGCAGCCGCCCGGCAACTTCGCCGCCGATGATCTTCGGCGCGTACTCGGGCAGCTGCGCCAGGCCGATCGTGCCCGCGTGCACCGCGCCGATGGCGTCGTCGCCTAAAAGCAAGAATACGATGCGAAAGACAACCGGGTTGAGACAAGAAACACGGCGCGCCGTCGCCTAGCGACTCGGAGAGCAGCGCCCACATGCGCTGCCGCTCGGCGCGCCTGCGTGCTGAGTACACCAGCCTCAGGGCTCAGCGCGTGAGTACGGTGTTGTGCAGTGTATTCAGAGCACCGCGCGAATACGAGCGACACTAAGACAGCTGGACGCTGGCTATGGTCGAATACAGCGGAATGCGCGTCCGCCCGAGCGCTAGTTGGACTGCAAGACTACTTTGTTTCAGCTCGTAGGTGGTCGGCGCGGCAGCCGTCCCACCGCTGCGGGTCGTCGGGGAGATATGGGGAGATATGGGGAGATGGGAAGATGTGGGGATATGTGGGGAGATGTGGGGAGATATGGGGAGATATGGCGCGCCAGCCGTCCCACCGCTGCGGGTCGTCGGGGTACCCCTCGAGGTCATACGGCATCGTCTGAGGAGGGTTGGGGTGAGGCGGGGTTGGGTGGGGAGGGGGGGAAGGGGCGGGCGGGGGGGGGGGGGGGGGAAGCGCATTGGGGTTAGGAAAAGAAAGGCAAAGAGCGGGGGGTTTTAAGAGGGGCTAGGTGGGGTTGGGTGGAGAGTGTCGCTGCGGCGACCTGATCGACGCCGAGCAGCCTCCCATATCTCCCCACATCTCCCCACATCTCCCATTATCTCCCACCTGGTCGACGCCGAGCAGCCTCCCATATCTCCCCACATCTCCCCGCATCTCCCATTATCTCCCGCCTGGTCGACGCCGAGCAGCCTCCCATATCTCCCCACATCTCCCCGCATCTCCCATTATCTCCCACCTGGTCGACGCCGAGCAGCCGCACGCCTCTCAGGATGAAGGGGTAGACGCTCGTCGCTAGCTCGCCGCCTAGCCTCGCCCAAACGGGGGGGGAGGTCAATCTCGCACAATCTCCGGCTGCACCCCTCGCCGACTGCCCGCCGCCTCCCGCGACACCCGGCGAGGCGACGGCGCCTAAGAAAGAAGCACGCCGCGCGCGCTGCTGCTAGAGGGGAAACAGCGCTTGCCTCTGGCGGAGCGGCGGCGCCGCGATAGCGCGTCTGCGCGAGCGCTGCTGCCAGCGTGGCGCCGCCCACGCTGTCTACGACGCCAGCCTACAGCCGCGCGCCAACCTTCAGGGGCGGGAGCACCCTCGCGCGCAGAGAGCTCGCGGAAGCGTCCGCGCGAATACGAGGGGGAGGTGGGCCCATGTCGTGTGTGCTCAAGCCGCCGCGTGAGTGAAGACGAGCTCGTAGCCCACAGCCCACAGCCCATCTTCCATAGAGAGGCGACTGTCGCGCTGGCCTTCCGTGGGACCCACCCCGTGGTGTGTTGCGCGTGTCTGGCTGGCGCTGTGTGCTGCCGCGCGATCTCGGGCCAAGGGCTGTGCTGTTGTGTGAGCACGAGGGCCACGAGCACGTGGACATGGGGAGATATGGCGAGATATGGGGAGATATGGGGAGATGTGGGGAGATACGGGGAGATACGGGGAGATGTGGGGAGATGTGGGGAGATGTGGGGAGATGTGGGGAGATATGGGGAGATGTGGGGAGATATGAGCACGAGGCCACGAACACACGCACACAGCTGGACGGCGGAGTAGAGTGCGAATCTCCCCAGACCTCCCCAGACCTCCCCAGACCTCCCCAGATCTCCCCAGATCTCCCCAGATCTCCCCAGATCTCCCGAGCGCCGGTCAGAGTAAGGTCTGCTTCTACGGCGCGCGAGCCCACAGCTGCTTCCCGAGCGGCTTCGGCTCGGGCTGCAACCTGATTCGTTAAGGAATCGAGCAATGAACTCATTGACTCATGCTTCCCGACCGGCTTCGGCTCGGGCTGCAACCGGCCGACCACGTCGCTGGCGCCGAGGGCGCGCAAGTGATCTCCAAGCGCCTCCGCACGACCCGTGCCTGAGATGACCCGAGATGGCGCGAGATGACCCGAGATGACCCGAGATGACGCGAGATGACTCGAGGTGACCCGAGGTGATCCGAGAGGGCCAGAGATGTCCCGAGCGCCTCAGTACGTCTAGCTGCCCGCGCTCGCCGGATCTCGCCGGATCTCGCCGGATCTCGCCGGATCTCGCCACATCTGCTGCAAGATCTCGCCGGATCTGCTGCAAGATCTCGCCGGATCTCGCCAGATCTCCCCATACCCCCCCGCATCTAGCTGCCCCCGCTCGCCACCACTTCGAAGCCTCGCGCGTGCAGCAGGGCGACGGCGACCTGGCCGAGGCCGAATCTCGGGTGATCTCGAGTAATCTCGGGCGATAATGGGTGATCTCGGGCGATCTCGGCTAATCTCGGCTAATCTCGAGGAATCTCGGCCAGTCTCGGGTGATCTCGGGTGATCTCGGGCAGCCTCGGGCAGCCTGGAGCAGACCTGGTCGAGGCCGCCTGCGGCGCCAGTCACGAGGACGGGGCCGTGGGACGGCTGGACCTGCGAGGTGCGGGGGAGGTGT